ATCTCACCTCGAACTAAATACGGAGTTCGACCTATACTGACTTGAGCGTCGAAGTGTTTACCCTCTTGTGCAGGTCCACTCTAAGTGTTCAGGTCGAGATCGGAGACCGGGTTCGAGCTTGGTTCGTGAAGAACCGTTGTGCAAACTCCTGCATAAACAGATTGTAGAGAGAGAAAGAAAATAAGGAGAAAACAAAATTAAAAGGAAAACGGAAATGAGGGCTTGAAGAGAGAGAAAGATGGGCTTTCCTAAGGGAAGGAAGTTCTCTTGTTTGTTTCACCCACTGTTTCTTTGTCCTCTGTATTGTCTCCCCGTTTCCTCTACTGTGCTTCCTCCTTTAAATACCAAAAAAGTAACGGTAATGTTGTAATGGGTCAAAAATGCTTAGAGAAAAAAAGGAGGAAGATGAACGAGAAAACGCCACGATACAAGAATTTTGACGAGGGAAAAAAATAACAAACTTTTTAGTATTTTCTTTTTAAAATTAAAACAAATCTTTTTTTTTAAACCAATTCTTTATTTTAAAAAAATCTTTATTTATTTATTTATTATTTTAATTATAAAACAAATTCTTTTAAAATAGAATCTGAACCAAACCAATTTTATTTTCTTATTAATAAAATCAAAACATTTAAATAAATCTAATCTTTTTTTAATTTAAGTTAATTTAAATTTTACCTTAAAACTAATAATAAAGTAAATTTAGGATATTTTAAACCGAATAATTAAAATAAAACTTAAAAAAAATAAAAATATTAATATTAATAATAAATAAAAAAACAAAAATTAAAATTAAGCCGGACTGAATACGGTGTCTACATCTACTATTACTTATAATAAAATAAATTATATTTTATAGGTAAAATAAATAAAAACTATATAGGAAATAAAAAATAAAATAGCTAAAATACTCATAAAAGAATAATATTTTATATACAAAATAAATAAAAAAACTAACTAAATAAATATTTTAAATGAAAATTGCGTACATATCAATAGAAATGCGCTGGTCGTAATTTGAACTTGCGGATGGGGCACGAGTTATATGCCAACGGAGTAAACTTTAATTTCCTTCTTAAATAGCATACTAAATCCTACTTAACTAAAATCAGGGGGCACGTGCCCTCCCGGTCCCTTTGCGGATCCGTCCTGGATAGGAAACTATTGATCCCATTTGATAATATTCTTGTTTATCGTTTTCTCTATTTTTATATATATAAAAAAACATAATTACATTTAGTAACTCTTTCATGTTATTTATTAATTTATATATTTTATTGAAAATAGAAGGTATCATTGAATTTTAATTCAAAAAATAAAAATTTTATAAGAAAGTTAAAATTTTAAGTTAATATTCTAAATATTTATATTATTATTACTTTTTATTATTTATTACGCACTTTCTTTATAAGTCAAGAATCGTAAAAACAATATTTTTATTTATGTTTTGGGGGAAAATGATGAAGGAACTAGAACAAGAATTTTGATTTTAATGTTTCCAAAATTTTTATACAATTTTGGAAACCTTTTTTAAACAAAAAATAAACGAGAAACATAAATAATCGTCAAATGCTTAAGTTTATTATGAAAGCAATAAATGGAAACCTTCCTAAAAAAACTCTTACTAAACAGACACTAAATAGTTTAGGCTCTTAGCGATATCGTTTGTACAATTAATAAGGAGTTCAAAATAGAAGGGTAATTAAAATATAGAAGACTTAAAATTGAGTATTGTTACACAAAAACGTTAAAATAATTATATAAAAATAACTTTCACAAAATTAAGGATAAAATACTATTTTGATAACTAATTTAGTTCATTTTGGTTCCTAAACTTTCAAATTGTTAATTTTGGTCCCTGCACTTTCAACTTTGGTTTATTTTTAGCCCCCATGTTCGTTTCGGTCGTGGTACTTTTAGAAAGTGACGATTTTGATCCTTATTATTTTCAAAATTTTAACACAAATTATACACATAACGAAAATCTTTTAATATAAAATAATGATTACATTTCAATGAATATATTGTGCGTAGCTAGTGTTGTGTTTAAATTATGATAGAAAAAATCAGATAAAAAATAAAAGTAAGGAACAAAAATGATCACTTTAAAAAGTACAAAATGATTAAAACAAATATTTTAAAAGTACCGCTACTAAAATGAACCAAAATTAAAAGTATAGGAACCAAAACAAACATTTTGGTAAAACAAATATCTTGGATTCTTACGAAACAAACACATTACATTTTTCAATAAAACTGACCTAGAATCAAAAAAGGGTTGCACCAATCCCCAACTAAAAGAGAATAAACAACAGGGAGGAAGCCAACCCGAACAACTCAACTGGATAAGAACCTTACACCGGTGTCGGCGCTTGCAAATGAGAAACTTTAATTTAAATAAATTAAATTAAAAATATTGTTTTCAAATCAACCACTCTTTTGAAACGTAAAAAATAAATTTATTGTTAATCCAATCGCTTTGTGCAATTGCGTGGATGATAAACTAATAACGAAAAACAGAGAGGAAATTTAATAGATTTGAAATTTGAAAAATGTGCTTTATGCTTTCAAATTAGATTCCAAATTTCAGATTTTCTTTTTCCCGTTTGGATTTGAAATTCAAATTCAAATTTAAAAAAAGAAAAATCTCAATTTTATTTTCAGTCCGAGAATTTACCCAATATAATAATTTATGGTAAACTTAAATAAATAATTTTCTTCAACAAATAACTTTTACCAATAATATGCTTTCAAATTAGATTCCAAATTTAATTATCCATAACCTATAGAAAAAGAAGTCTTCCATACACACGGATTTTAGTAATTCACTAGGAAACAGATTCCTAATTATCTTGGGAAATATTTGCCTATATATTCCCCATTGGCTCTTTATTTTTTCACATTCTGCAATCTCTTCTCTTCTCTTCTATAAGTCTCGGTCCATATTCCCTACTTTCTCTCTTTGATTCTTACGATGGCTGGCGGTGGTTTCGAGATAAATGGTAATCAAGGTGGTTCGATCACAAACTATCCCAGAGAACTAACTTCTTATTTGTTGATAACCTGCATCGTTGCCGCTATGGGTGGGCTCATCTTCGGTTATGACATCGGTATCTCAGGTAATAAATGGGTTGTTTGGTGACGTAAGGCCAACTTAAGGTATAGGCAAATGAAAAGTTCGTTTTGAAGGATTAGGAAACCCATGACCGGTAGAAAATATTAAAGAGTTTTAAAATATATATTTGATAAATTAATTCAATATTATAAATAATTTTGATAGATAAAAATAATTTGGAAATTAAAATACATGAAAGTTTGATAATACGTACCCATACAAAAAATAATGTAAAACGGTGGAATTTAAAAATAGACAGGAAAGAGTAAAAATTTATGTACTAAATTTATTTATTAGAAAAGGCAGTAGAAGACGACCCATATAATTTATAATTTATAATTTATTAATTATTATTTTGTTTTGTTGATCTGATTAGGTGGCGTCACGTCTATGGCTCCGTTTTTACAGAGATTTTTCCCATCTGTTTATGAGAAAGAAGCTTTGGATACTTCAACCAATCAGTACTGCAAATTTGATAGTGTTCCCCTCACCATGTTTACTTCCTCTCTTTATTTGGCTGCACTTTTGGCTTCTTTATTAGCATCTTGGGTCACCAAAACCTTCGGTCGTAAAAAGTCTATGCTTCTTGGTGGCTTTGTGTTCTTGGTTGGTGCCGCCATTAATGCTGCTGCTCAGAACCTTGCAATGCTGATTATCGGTCGTATTTGTTTGGGCATTGGTGTTGGATTCTCAATTCAATCTGTTCCACTTTATGTCTCGGAGATGGCACCCTCTAAGTATCGAGGCTCTCTGAATGTTGTTTTCCAACTATCGATTACGATCGGCATTCTAGTGGCTAATCTTGTTAATTTTGGTACTGCCAAGATTCATGGCGGATGGGGGTGGCGCGTGAGTCTAGGAGGTGCAGCAGTGCCTGCATTGTTCATCACAATCTCAGCTCTCTTTCTTCCCGATACTCCAACTTCAATGTTGGAAAGAGGCGAAATCGAGAAGGCGAGAGTCATGCTCCAACGCATCTGCGGTGTATCTTCCAAGGATGTAGATGCAGAATTTCAAGATATAGTGGCAGCAAGTATTGCTGCTAAAGCAGTGACACATCCATGGAGGAATTTGAGGGAGAGGCAAAACAGACCACAATTGGTAATGTCCGTTTTAATCCCATTTTTTCAGCAATTAACAGGGATCAATGTGGTCATGTTCTATGCTCCGGTGCTGTTTAAGACTATTGGTTTTGGAGACAATGCTTCTCTTCTTTCGTCTGTCATTACGGGTGGTATTAATGTTTTGGCAACTTTTGTATCTATGTATGGTACTGATAAGTGGGGAAGGAGGATTCTTTTCTTGCTCGGTGGAACCATCATGTTCGTTTTCCAGGTGATTAAAATTTTACTATTTCAAATAAGTTTTGTTTTGTTTTCTGGAACAAAGCTCAGCCAAAAATAAGATCGACAAATAATAGTTTTTCAAAAGATTTTTGTCTCCGTATCGATTTGATTCTAATAAAGATGTGACATCATTTGTAGGTTTTGGTGGCTGTGTTCATAGCTTGGAAATTTGGAGTTTCTGGTGAGGTTGCTTATTTACCCAAGTGGTATGCTGGTGTTGTGGTGTTGTTCATTTGCATATATGTGCAAGCCTTTGCATGGTCTTGGGGACCTTTGGGATGGCTAGTTCCAAGCGAAATCTTCCCACTTGAAATTCGATCAGCTGCTCAAAGCGTAACGGCGTCGGTGAATATGTTCTTTACCTTTTTGATTGCCCAAATCTTCCTCACCATGCTTTGCCATATGAAATTTGGGTTGTTCTTCTTCTTCGCTTTCTTTGTGGCTGTGATGACCATATTCATCTATTTCTTCTTGCCGGAGACAAAGGGCATMCCCATTGAAGACATGTCTTGTGTTTGGAGACAACATTGGTTCTGGAATAGATATGTGCCTCAACAACTTACTAAAGTTCGAGCTCAAATTTAGGATATGAAAAATTGAAGTTCCAACCCTATTAGCCTCATGAATTTTCCTTTTACTTCCCCCCTTACATTTTCTGTTTAATAGGGTATTCCTTTTATTTTCATTTTATTTTTTTGTTATTTACAGAATTTTTCTCTTGTATTTAGTAGTTTTGGTTAGGATTCTTTTTATTACATATCCTCGAATAAAATTAATTTTCTTTTCCATGTTTAATTTGGCATTTATGGTTTCTTTTTTAATGTTTAATTCTTAGAAAAGAGGAATGCTTTTAAATGTGTTCGGGCTGCTACAATAGATTCTAAAGAACTTTGGCTAAATTATTCTTCTTGGCCTTTCTTTAAAAACTAAAATAACAAATTAAATAATTTTTGGATAACTCATTGACAATAATGGTGCTTAAAAATAATAAAATAAAATTATTATGCAGTACAAAACAAATTGTCATGAAATAGCGTCTTATTTATTTACAATATTTTAGATCGACAAAAAAAGAAGAGATAAAATTAAAATAAAAAAGTTAAAATTTTTAGGAATTTAGCGAACTTTTTGAATTAATCGAAATTGAGTGCAAAATTAATTAAAATCAATTACAATGAAACTGATTTGGCTTTCACATTCTCGGCCAAAGTTGAGGTTGTTGACTATATTCTCTATCTTTAGCAAAATATTTAGAGGATTTGTGAATAGATCAGCCAGTGTTAGTGGGTACTGGGTAGTAGGAGTAAACTGAAGTTGAAGATCCTCCCAAAAGGCCAAATTAATTTAGACTTTTAATGTCGGGTCAGGATCAATGTCGGGCCATTAATATTGAAATATATATATTTTTATTTAATTTTAAGCACGTTTTCTACGTGTCTATCATTGTTGCCTCCGTGATTTTGTTTTTGACTGATATTAAAAGTCATATTTGTTGTAGTGTTTGGAGATTGTAGAAAGATAACAAATAAGTTAATGCAAAATACTCAATGGAGCTTCTTTGAGATAAATCTCGCGGCTATAAATGTTTCTTAGTTTTTGATAGGGGTTTACTATGTTGCAAAAAATCAATGCCTGAAACCGTGACAAATGAATATATTTTGTGTTTATAGCTCAAAATTTAAGTACTCACTAATAGTAATAGCTCAATCTTCGAAAAGATATAAAATTAGTGTTGAAAAATTATTTAATACAGTGCTGAAAAAACATAATATAAAAACTAAATAATCAATTTCAGGATGAGAGATGAAATTTTTGGAGGGAAATAAATGTAGAAATATATGAGACTAAAAATTGAGAACCTCTTGCTCTTACCTCGATTTTGAGAAATTTTTGGCTCTCCCATCCATCGTCTCTTACCGTCTCATTCTTGAAATATAAAATTTAATATAAAATAATCGAAAAATGTTTTTTTCAAGATCCTCCCTTTCCCTATAGACGTAACGTGATATAGACGTAAAAGATGTAACATTATCAAATTTATTAGCTGGTACATATTTCTAATATTTAATTTTTTGTTAAAAATCTATAGTATATATAAAAAGGTAGGATCGGAGAAACACTTTTTACCGTTATTGCCTTTCATTTTTTATACTTTTGAAATATGAAGTTGGGGGCAAATTAGTCCTTTTACATATAACTTATTAAATTTTTAAATTAAGGTGAGATTAAATGATAAAATAAGTGGTGGGTGGAAATAAATGTTTAGATTAAGGATTGCTTCATGTTCCAACATTTTGTCCACGAATTGCTTCATATTGAAAGGTTTAATAGAAGTTAATACAATTTGATGATCAAAACCGTTTCAAGAAATTCAAAAGATTTTGAAAATTAAATTGACAATGGAGAAATTAATAATAGTTTATTCAACTTCCTATGAAAGTTTGTAAAATTCACATATTTAAGGAAGAACGAGAAGGAAAATTTAGCAACATCATCTCAAATCCTGTTTTTCTTTACAAGCTAGAAACAATAATGGATTGTCACAAATTTGTTGGTTTTTGAGGATTTTTTTTATTTGTGTTATTCAAGGATAGCTCTCTATCCCAATGGAGATGAGAAACAAAATAGTTGTGGTCATATTTCACTCTATTTGTAACGGTTGAGAATAACATTTTATCAACGTCTACTTCAGAGGTCTAGATTGTCTTACGTTTCTTGTTCATGATAAATTCAGAGACACATATTAAGGTAACCCAAATTCCTCAAAACATTCGTTACCTTATTTGAGGTTTTGAAATTTGATATGCACTATTCCTCAACAGATCCTCTCCTTTTAGTACCAGTTTCAAATCTGACACAAGTTCAAGATCAAGATCAAGTTGATTAGAGGTAAATCTAAATTATATTTAACTTTTGGTTTTTTTTTTTTTTTGTTATTTTACCCAAAAGAAAAGGTTTGAAATTTTCAATAATTAAGCCAATGTAGATTTAGGTAGTGAGGAAGAATATGATAGCAAATACTAAAACATATAAAATGGAAAGATTGATCAAAACAAAACTGTAAATAAACTTTACCTCATTTTAGCCTCAGATTTGGAGATCGAAACAATACTACAACTTAAAAAATGGTGATATAGGAAAATCACGAACTCCCTAATGGTGAATAACTCATGCCATGTACAACTCTAAATTATTATCTTTCTTTATATTCACATGGTTCACCCTCAAAAAAAAATTGGAATGATGTAGGTTAGAGTTTACAAGTGAAATGCGTGTGTTATGGAAATTAACAAAAATAGGTATTCCTTAGTTACGAAATATTTTAATAATGTGAGTCATTAGTTTTAATTTAAATTAAATTTATTACTATTTATTATTATTATTTGAGATTTGACTTCTTAGATATGGAAAACAATTAAGTATAGGTTTAAAAAAATATTTCATATTTTAATAACTTTAGCCATTAATGTTTTGAAAATTTGACCTATTGCATATGGTAAAAAAATTAATTATAGGTTTAAAAATCCGTTTTTTAAAAAATAATAAATTATTCATCCTAAGGTAACTATTTAAAGTAATAAATATTTTTTCTATTATGTTAAAATATTCTTTTTTACTTTGTACTTAATTAATATAATGAGTAAAATGGGAATTTGGGATTGCGACCCAAGTTTTCTAAGTACTTTGGATTTTGATTTTTTGATATGGCAACACAAAGGTAAAATATATGATATGGAAATTAACGAAAAATATGTATTCCTTAATTACGGCATATTTTATTAATGTGAGTCACTAATTTTAATCTAATTTAAATTTGTTGTTATTTTTTTTTTATATCTGACTTCTTAGATATGGAAACAAATTAAGTATAGATTTCAAAAAATTGTTTAAACTATCATGAATGTGGTGATTAGAGTTTACAATATTAATATTTCTAAATTAACAAATTAAGTATAGATTTCAAAAAATTGTTTAAACCACTATGAATATGGAGATTAGAGTTTACAATATTAGTATTTCTAAATTATCCCATATTTTCGTTAAAAAAAAAATTATCCCATATTTTAATAATGTTAGTCATTAATGTTTTGAAAATTTGACCTATTAGATATGGTAACAATATTAATTACAGGTTTAAACATTTGTTTTTGACAAATACTCAATTAGCACTAACTATTTAAAGCAATAAATTAGTTCTAAATATTTTTAAATGGTTACAATTTTTTGTGATTTATGCCGGGGGTTTCACTTTTTTAAAAAAAAAAATCTACATTTTTTGAAATTATTGGGATGACAACACAATTTTGTTTTATAAATTTTCTTTATTACTTTGGATTTTGATTTTTTGATACGGCAACAGTGAAATGTATGTAATATGGAAATTAACAAAAATATGTATTCCTTGATTGATGCATATTTTATTAATGTGAGTCACTAATTTTAATATATTATTATTATTATTATTATTATTATTATTTTTAGATTCGACTTCTTAGATATGGAAAAAAATTAAGTATAGATCTTAAAAATCAGTACCATAAATTAAAGCCACATAATTATACGTTCAAATCAGCAGTCAAAACTATAAGTACACAATTATTATAGGTATAGGTTTGAGTTATTCGTACAATTTTTCAAATAAGTACTCTCAAAATTAACAAGGACATATTTATGTGCAATATTGACTATAAATTTAGACTATACAATTATACGTGCGTTGCCCGTTATTTTACTAGTTAATTATAAATAGTCTCATTTAAAAATAGTAATTATTTTTGAAATTTTAAAAAATATAGCCCATGGTGGAAGGAAAATATTTTTAATTAGATAAAATAATTATATATATAATTTATGTAAAGTATTTTGGGTGTACGAAAAAATTCAAGGGAAATTTAGGTGAGTAACAAAATCTCCCTTAGTTTATAATTTTGCAAAAATAGTTAAAGGGTATATTTGAAATTTTACATTTTAAAACTTTTTTTTCATAATCCCTTCCTATATTTTAGTTGGAATTTACATATATTTAACAACCCTAACCATTCAATTCAAAGTTTGGAATTTACATATCTTTTCTTAAATATTTTAATTCTTTTACTAGTAATTTCGTTTAATTTCTTCTGCAGGTTGGAGGAGGCGACAGCTGAAGCTGTCAAAAAGCAAAAAGAAAGGTTAAAAGGTTTTTATTTTATTTTATTAAACCCTAATTTCTTAAAAAAAATCAATAAATGTATTATGTTTACTCTTTTATTTTTAAATTTTATATTAGACATGTGTAAATTTTAAAATCTATACCAACACAATTTTATCAATCTTTTTTAAAATCTACTTTCAGAACTTAAAATTAGATTTAAAATAAATATTTTAATTTCATTTACATTTTATTAGATATAGTTGATTCCCTAAAATTAAGGTCGATTGTTTTTCAATTCATAAAAATCTTAGATCCCTACAATTATGTATATATACCTAATTGGTTAAAAGGGTATATTTGTCTAAACATTTTATCAGTATTTAAAAAAGAAACAATTTAGTCGTGTTTGACATTTTTTAAAACGTATTATTAAAACTTGGTCATTCCTGTAACTGCCCCAAAATTCAATAACTTTGGAAGAACCCAACCCAACCCAAATTGAAAATGTGGGTTGAAATTGATAAGAATGGACCAATTTGGGTTAGTTTCGAGTTACCAAAGGATCATTAGTTCGACCGAACCGTTATCACACACATGTATATATACCACGTTTTAAATTTATTTTAGGGCTTTCAGAACCTCCACGATCCATCTCTCATGCTCATCTTTCTTGATCTCACGATTTTGAGAAACTTTGGGCTCTCCCATCCATCGTCTCTTACGGTTTCATTCTCATCTCTCTCACTGTAATTTATTTCAGAGCTATTGTGCTTTATTTTTTGTTTAATTTTTTTTTCTTTTTGGTTGTGAGTGAGTTTTTAATATGGCTGCTCCTGTTCTGAAATTGTGGTTTAAAATTCCTGCAGTTGAGATTTTATTTAACGTTGTTTTTGGAAGAGATTATTGACGTGATGTAAGATTCAGTAAATAATCCATCCTATACCTTAATCAAAGCAAGATACCTTCTACTTTTCAGCTTGGGAATTTTAAGGTTTTGCTTAATCTGAATGTGATTCAATTCACCTATTAGTTCCTCAATTCTTGTTAAAGTTGTGGGCTGTGTGATAGATAATGAAAATTCCTGTTATTAGCCCATCTTATTTTATCCAGCAATCCACTATTAACTCTTGCTTAAGAGGCATTGTTTTGATGCTGGAAACATGATACAATCTATGCTGATCCTGAACAAAATATGTGATGTAGTATCGTAATAAAGGTAGCGAAAACCGAAAAGGGTACAACATTACGGATGGTATTCATTTATGTGTAGTGGAACAATGGAAACAAGCATGGATATTAAATTTGAAATTTGGATACAAGTGGAACTTTTTTCTTTCATTAATGAAAATTCATATATATATATATATATGATCTCGTTTACTGTTGTTTTTGCTTTTCTTTTGCTGTTTTTGATTCTCTCATTGTCAATCCCATTGTAATATTCGATGCAAGAATTCTTACGCACCAACTCTTTCTGGTCTTCCTTTTTTTCATGTCTTTGTTGTTTTTTCCTTTCATCTTTTATGCACTCTCACTATCAATATGCACTGCTATGTCTTATTTCACTTATTGATTTTGAAGAGCAGGATAGTTTTTGATGGCTTCTTCTCCCGAATCCTACTTTCTTGGCTATCTATTTGATTCTGAACCTGAGATGAATGAGGAAGAGGAAGAGGAAGAGGAAGAGATTTTGTCTACCCCTCTAAAAAATCATTTCTATACTTCTGATGATGAATTTTATGCTGACGGTCTCCATGACATGAACCCAGAAGAGATGAAACGATACCATCAGGCCGTTGATGAAAGCAGGTTTTCTTTTCACTTGCTTTCGGTTATTTTATTTATTTATTTACTTCTTTTTTCTAATTTGTATTAGAATTTTGAGCTAGGTTTCTATTTAGTTCCTAAAATTCAAAAAACGACACTAAATTTAGTCCAACCTCACGTTTGAGAAATGGTTTTAAATGGTCTTTGAGTCACTGAGCACGGCATAATTGGTAATGAAGTGGCATTTTTTAGTAGTTTTATATTAATTTGAGTTTAGTTGGCTTTTTTATTATTATTATTTATTTATTTCTTCCCTTTCTCCTTATCCAATCTATTCTCCTCTTTTTATCCAGATCTGGAGATGTGTTGCATATCCATATCTCTTTCATCCGACCCACGTAGTAAACCATAAGCTCGTGTATCACCATTGGCACGAAAAACGTCGCGACCACTGCCGACAGTGAGGCTACTTGTTTTCTCTCTTGACTTGAAAACTGAAAAAACAAGGAATTTACTACGCCTCGTATGGACTTGACAGCTTTAGTGTACAAGGACCGTCGGATTCAGAACGTGGTTTCCATTTGAGGGCATTAGGGGTCAATTTGGGAGATTTGAGGGAGGATTTCGTTGGATTGAACGGTGAGAAATCGCCAGAGGGAGAGGGAGAGGGGATCAAGATAAATGGCCTTTGGCGAAAGAGAAGAGGAAGAGCTTGAAATTGGCGAGCCAGGCATTTTTTCTGATGAGGTAGCATTATTTCTATGAAGATTAAAAAGGGGAGAAGAGATTGGATGAGGAGAGGGAAGGGAAGAGAAAAATAATAATAATAAAGAGAAGCCAACTAAATTGAAAATAATATAAAACTAATAAAAATTGTCATCTCGGATGAATAAACCACCCCTCAATCCAAAAACTTAAGTTGATAGATTGGGTAAATTTACTTCATTTATAAGTATCTCAACGCTCTTCTTCACTTGTTGACTTGGAAAATTGTAACAAGACTCAACAAGTGGAAATCATAATATATGGGGAGGAAACCAATTATGTCACGTCATTTTTTCATTAGTCAACTAAGGGTGAAATAGACCTTGTGACCATTTAGAACCTTTCTCAAACATTGAGGGAATAAGTGTCGTTTTTTTAACTTCAGGATTAATTTAGAATTTTCATTTCAATTAATTAAAGTTTTTCATATACAGGGTTTTGATGTACCTTCTTTTCCTAAGGCCATTGCTTTCGGTATTATTATTCCTTGGGAGGGTAACGACTATCCAACAAGGATGCAGCAATGTGCAGAAGACGCTATTAAACACTACAACAATGAAAATGTACCTCTATTTTTTCTTTCTTTATCATTTTTTTTTCTTTTTAACTTGGCGAGATCATATTAATATTTTCTTATAATGTATAGGGTACAAATTTGGAGATGGTAAAGATTGTTAAACTGAATGTTCAAGCTATATGCGACTTCATCTATTACATCACCTTCGAGGTCAAGCCAATTGGAAAAGAGTTCCCATTAATAATCTTTCAAGCTCAGGTGGTCGATGGCATTGATGATACCATAGAGGTAAAATTTTGTAGGCCAAAACCCTTTGGTTAGCCCTACCAACCACCAACACCATTTTGCTGCTACTATATATATATATAAATATTTGGACAATTTTTATTATTTGATATTTGTGCAATTTCATGTGGATCCAGTGATTATTATATATTTATTTATTTATTTGGACAATTTTTTCTTATTATATATTTGTGCAATTTCATGTGAATCCAGTGATTAATTATTATATATATATATAGCACTTATGCAAATCTGCCAATATTAATTCTATATGATATCTAGGAGTCAGGATTAATTCCATGGATAATTAAGAATGCTATTTGACCTTACTTGGTTTCTAACATTTTTTTTTTTGGTTAATAATTATGTTTTGTATCAAATAATATATTAAATGGTTTTTAAAATTTAATTAATTGTTTAATACAACAAATATGGGGATAGAGGATTGACCTAAGAAGATGCAAGATGTCTTCAATTGTTCTAAAGCAATTTTAATTTTAGAAATTTTTTTTTTTTTAGTACTAGCTAGGGTGAAGATTTGGATTTATAATTTTTTAGTCGAAGATAAATGCTTTAACCATTCCTACAAGGTGATATATATTTTTCTATTCAATTTTTAAATTATACTTAACAACCTTGACTGGGTTGGTCTACAATGGTGTATTATTTGCAAGAAGAGCATGGAATCTCAACATCTCTTCTTCACTTCGTGTACTTTTGCATCTGAATTTTGGAAGGACATCCTCTTTGCTTTTGGTTGGTCCACAACGTTACCAAATGACCCTAAACTTCTCCTAACGGGATATCCCTTAAAAAACATAAAGGAACAGTTATGGACAAATTTCATTCGAGCATTTCTGTGGACTACTTGGGGTGAAAGAAATCAAAGGATCTTCCTTGACAAGTCACAATCTTTTGATCACTTTTTTGATGCTTAAAGTGATGTTTAAAGCTATATCTTGGTGTAAAACTTCTCCTACTTTTATTTATCATAGCTACACTTCTCTCCTGTCAAATTGGCGGTAGTGCCTTCTGTAACCCATCTATGGGCTTTTATATTCCCTACTAGGGGCTTTCATACAGTAATGAAATTGTTTCTTATACACAACCTTGATTTGGTTGTAAACGTTGGAAATCTCGTACAAAATACAAACTTATAATGGGTCGAGAATTTCATTTGAAAACATTTAATAGTATATGCTTGAAAAGAAGAAAAAATATTTTATATACCATCCTTTGATTGTAGCTTCAATGTCTCAAAAGTCAGAACCTTCAGTTACATGAACCTTCATGTTTCAAACATTTTCTTCAAAACATCTTCTATGTGCAGATTTTAAGAGATTTGTCTATGAAGTTTAACATAAGAATAGCATATATTCAGGTTAGATGCATATGAAATTAAACTCATTTTGACAACAAAATATCTACATAATAAGCAAATTGTCTGTGCTACTAAACTATCAAGTTCTTCAAGCCAAGGCGGTCGAACATTAATGTTTACAGTATGGTAGCAAATAAAAACAACAAAATTTCAGACAAATAAATTCACACTGACCTTCATTCATAAACCTTCCCTGAGCACCCTCGCCAATCTTCGATCTAATAAACTGTAATTTCGAACTCTCATTGACTTCTTGAATGACGACGACGCCTCGACGAGAACCAATGCCTTCTCCTCCACAATCATGGCTCGAGCTCTGCAAATGGCAGTGTAGACAATTAGGGCATTGTTTTCGTCAATTGGAATGCTCCGGATTTTGTACTCTTGTCCTTTGATCACCATGCTGTCACTTGAGAAACCAAATCGAAAATCAGAAAACTGAAACTGGAAATTGGATTTTTGGAATTGAGAATTTTGTTCCTGGAAGAGGATGAAATCCTGATAGAACTAGAAAAGAAATAGAAAAGGTAAAATAAGAATTCTAAAATAACAAATAACAAAATTTGCTATATTTAAAATTTTGAAGAGCTACTGGCATTTTTTAAAATTTATAAAATAGCTTTGTATAATTGCCCCATTTAAAAACTACTTATTTATCTATTTATTTTGAAATTCCATGGAATTTCAAAATAGTTTTTGAAAAACCAAAAAACAGAAAATTGAATTGTTACCAAGCAACCTTGTTTTCAAAACACTAAAAACCAAAAACCAAAAATATGGAACGAAATAGTTATCAAACGGGCCTTAAATTTACAAGATTTTGAATTAAGATTTAATTAAAATCTCTTCGCAAAATTTGGAAACTTAATTTACGAACTCTAACTTAAATTTAATTTACTCGAGAAATCCAACGGCACAAATTAAATCTTAAAATAAAATAACCTGAAAACTCGGGAGTTACAGACTACCGACCTTAAAAAACTATCGTTCAAAAAACTTTCATCCTCCGAAAGTTGACTAGTCAAGTGGTTCTTTGTGCTCGACCTTGATCTTATTTTTCCTTCTTAGTTGCTCCCCTACAACATCGTTACTAAGACAACCTTTTGGTAGTTATACATAGTGGGGCTTATGATTAACAGAGTACTTTCCACTTGACGATGTAAAGACCTACCATGAACAACCTAATTGTTTTAACCTGAGGCTCCCTTACCAAACAAAAGCATGAGGAAAATAGGGAGTTGACCCAACATCGAGTTAAACAACACAAAAGTATGTTTTTGTGTCTTCTACGGAGTTTGTGGTGCCTTCTTGGTTATTTATAGGGTTTTAGGATTTAGAATTTAGTGTAGGGTTTAGAGTTTCAAGGTCTTAGAGTTTAAGGTTTGGTTTTGGGTTTTTCTTATTTAGGGTTTTAGGTTAAGGGTCTAATGTATTAAGGATTTTAGGGTTCTAGGATTTAGGGTTAATGATCTTAAACTCATGAAATCTTGGTCTTTGGCCCTTCCTCTCTCCTCAAAAATCAATTTCATAAACAGAGACAAAGAAACAAAAGTCGTAAAGTAATGTAAAGGGAAATGATATGATGCAGAAAACTGGAAGAATTGTACAAACATATATAAACGAACCACACAGAAAATTCAGTTGTTGATTAATTCACTTAGTTGATTAATGTATTTATTAATTGTCAATAAAAGATGAATGGACATGAATTATAATTGTTTATATAGGATTACTTTTTAAATAGTATTGAATCTTTAATTTTTTTGTTTTTCTCCAAATTCTTTTTCTTGTTGTAATCATATTCTTCTTTATTTTAAATCTCTTGTACTCAAAATCACAGATAGAAACTACTCTTCAATTCATATAGTTTGAAACGATCTCTCTCATGATTAGAAGGTATATAATCTAGTCCTATTCCGGTTTGGCCTAGTATGGAATGAACTTATAATCATGGAATCGACTCTATCATCAAATTATAGATTATAAGTTCATGATCCTAGTCCATTCTCATTTTGGGCGGAACAGATCTACTAATTCTTTGAAAATATTCAAGACAATGGAGGTAATCATTCCAATACATTATAATGTATTTTTTCCTATCAAACTAGACTATCGGTAATTTTATTCTAATTGAAATTGTTTGAAAATTAAAGGTTGAAAACTTTGATTGGCGAGAACATGACGACATTGGCATACTTACTCCCATCCGAGTACAAAAAATACAGTTCTTTGATTTTTCAACATTTTATTAAGTATTTATTTTATAATAGTAGATTGTATTTCATTTGGTTGAAAACATTCCAATTCAGTTCCTAGCAGATTTTTTTTTTTCCGGAAAATGTTTAAGGTTAAAAGTTGACAACATATTATATATAATAGGAATCTACTTATAATTGTACAGTACATTAAAACTATATCGAAAAAAAATTAGCCAATAAAAATTTAGCTAATACATGCAAACTAAACATGATTGTTCTCTAGACATGAATTACATAACTCTACACTAGTTAACTCTAAACCATTTTTTTTTAAACCAAACCAATATTGAAAAATGCAAGAAATAGTTCGAATGTCATATTTAATATTAATATTAATCTCCTTAACATAATATACAAAAATTAATAATGTAATTTATCAATTAGTATAGTAATAAGGTTCCCTTAATAATTTATGAAAAAAGGTTCCAATTAGCAAAACTTTTTACAAGTATATTGTTTTATTTGAAATATAAACTTTCTTGTTTTTATTGCCTTTACTGATCAGGGACATAATTCTAACTTTTGTTTTATGAGGGTGAAGGTAGTCCAAATAAAGTTAGGAAATTAAAGTTTTTATTATAATCCAAAAAAGATGAATGAAGTTTCAAATTATTTATTTTACTGCCGGTAGGAGCGATGAATTTATTGAGATTAACTGATATTTACTTACTTATTGATTTATTATTATGAGACATATTATGATATTATTCTATTTTGAATTACACTTCTTAGGTTATAAATGTAGATATTCCAAAACGATTAACTTTTCCTAAATAAGAAAAAAAAATAAAAACGATTTCATTTTCATATTGTTGTATTTTCATTTTTTTTATAATGAAATTATTGATAAGACGACTAGAATCTATTATTAACTAGTTAACTTATATTAATGAACTTTTATTCTTTACCGTTAGAAAACATGCTTTCTAATACGATTAGAAAATCTATATTCCACAAAAATAATATCCTCGAGACCAATTACAAGGATGAGTTCGAGCTCCTATATAGTAATACTAATTTTTTTTCTCAATAATAACTAGATTGTTGTTGGGCTAGTTATTACAACCGCTGAAGCTATAGAGGCAATATATAACATCAAATATCGTACAAGAAACCAAAAAAATTTTCATGCAGCACCTCAACACCTGCTTGATTACGTTCATCATGACCCTGACTGACCTTGGACCAAAAGAACCGGTGAAAGATTACAATAAGGGCTATTGCTCGAGTATTAATAGAGCTTTCCAATGGGCCGGTAATTAACAACAATGGAATAGCAACGGAAAAAGACTATCCATTTCTTGGAAGACTCAAAAGATTGTAAAAAAATAAAATAAATAAATTATTTATCTACTATATAATTAATTTATTTCATTTTTAATGGCAATATTTAACTTATTTTCTACGGCAACCTATGACCATCTCAATCCAAAAATTCGACAGCAACCTATTGGTGGTTCTATATATATTACTAAGGAGCTGAAACATCTAGAGAAATGTGAGTAAATTTTTTTAGGTTACCCATGTTAACATCTTTTATACCCTCCAACAATTAATTATTTTCTTGTTTGATTGTGGCAGGAAATATATCATGGCTCAAAAGAGACATGATTTGTTTCGTTGGGGTCAGGTATGCAGTTTTAGTAGTAGGTTATGGAACTTACAAAAATTTTGGGTAATCAAAAGCTCTTGGGGTGAAGAATGGGGAGAAAAGGGCTCTGGGAAAATTTCCCAAAATATTTTTAATAGTAGTGAAGGTCCCGTGTATTGATTGGACAGACTATCCTATCTAAAGATAGAAAAAGATGAACTTATAGAAAGTTGTCCACTAGTACCATGTAATTTTTGAGTTAGGAATTGAATATTCTATCAATGAATTCAACTCTTTTTTTTTTGTTAAGAAAGTTTGTATTAACAAAAAAAAATGCAACAAAGCAGCCTAAGCACAGGGGAAGAGATATCCAAAAAAACTAAGAAAAACTCTCCAATCTTACCTAATCGATGAGAGATTATAATTACAAAAGAAATTTATATGCCTACAACACCACCAAGAAGTGTGTAATGGAACCGTATTACAAAAGCTTTCAAAGTTTCCCACCATAAGTTCCAAAAGAGAGATCTAACGGCACAATTTCATAGTATTTTACTTTTTACTACTTTTGCCGTCCACTCCCTCCTACTCAGTGCCACGCCCAGCCCCCGTCAGCATCATGCGTCTCGTTAGCCCTCTGTCACGTGTGCACCGCTTCCTTGCCGCCCACTCTTGATATTTAAGGAATAGATTTGCTTTTGGGTTTCCTTAGATTTTATTTGTTTTACATTTTAAATTTAAGAAATATTTGTCCTGGATTACAAGCAAGTATTCGATTTTAGGAGAAAATTATGCATTTTAGGTTTAATTTTTATTTTGCAAATTCTTTTAAAGGTCTTTGCCCTTAGCCTATAAATACGTCCTTTATAGTCTTTGCAAGTAAAGTTTTGAGTATTTAAATATAGAATTGAGAGTTGTTCTCTTCACCTTGTCTTCATGCAAATGCCCCCTCCCTAAATAGTGCTACTCGTGGTTTTGTTACAAAAGTAATCTATCTTAACGAGGCTTGTTTAGTCCATACGTTTGAGTTGTCGCGTATCAAGATCTTGAGTTTGAAATTAAACGGCCTAAAGACGAATGCAATTAAATTTCTCTTTAACTATACTTCAGGGACAACATCAAGGCCATAAGATGTTATTTTCTCCCTCAGAAATTCATATCTCAATTGTGGGATGTCAACAAATAGTGTTTCATTTGGGGTGTGTCTGTATAGGGTATTACAAATATCTAACATTTACTATTGATATTTCCATGTATTCCTAAGTTAGACATCAATATAAACGGTAAATCGATAATTTCATAATATTGCAAAAAAATCGACAAAATATGAAAAATATAAACAAAATATCACTAATTCATATACAATATTAATATTAATCATTGTTTACTTATTTAGAAAGGGTGAAAGGCTTATTATTTGTTAATCTAAATATTTTTTACAACTTTTTTTTATTATTAAAACTCAAATAGCAAATTTTAATGATATTAATTAATCAAATCTAGAAAAAAAAACAAAAATATATGTATTGATTATTTAATTTAATATTTTTAAAATTTGGCTAAATCAATTAGAAATATTTGTTGGGTTTGTACGGTGCAAACAAAGTCCTACATTGGCTAGTTAAGAAAAAGAACATAAGTATATATATGTGAGGGACAACATTGGTATGAGATCTATCGGGTGAAACCAAAAGTAAAGTTGTGAAGGTTACACCAAAACCGACAATATCATACGGAGATGTGAAAGATCCCACTCCCAACAATATTTTATTTTAGTTTTTAATTAAAAAATGTTTTATTTGAGTAAAGGAAGAAAAATGAATTTAGTCAAAAAAAAAATTATTGATATAACACAAAGGGACAAAAATGTTGCTTATTAATTTAAACATACATTTTGCTTTATCTAACTCTAAAAATAAATTTTTTTATACAATAATTTAGACAAATGGTAGATCAAACATCGAACTCAAAAGAATGAATACATGTCAATTACAGTTTATATTTATATTCGACCCAAAATGGAAGAAAGATAATAAAGTAAAATATAATTACCAAATGAAATATCAGATAAATTTAAGAAGCCACACGTGTTTGAAGATATTTTGTGACGTCACAAGGAAAATTGTGCCATTTCAAATCATCCGGATAGAAAACAAAAGAGATGAAAGTGACCAAAGTATATCCCTTGTTTGGATTTCATCATCCAACCAAGCCGTCCACGTCATCAAGTTGTGCAAATATCTAGATTAAGTAATGGCCCTCCTTTTGCGTTTAGATAATGCTTACACACACTCAGCTCTCCTGTCCTAATCATTTGGATTCTCGAATTTTCTTTTTTTACAGTTCTACTTTTCATTTATTTAAAATTTGTTTGATAAAATCCCGATAACGTTTTCGTTTTGACAATTAGAATATAGCTCTTAGATTAACATACATGTATTTATCTAATAACGTTTTCGTTTTGTCAACTAGAACATAACTCAATAGATTAAAGTACACGTATTCAACTATAATAATATTTTCCCTTTATCAACAGGTTAAGGTACATGCATCAAATTATGAGGTTGAAAGTTCGAATCTTGGTCTTATATGTTGTACTATAAAAAATATATTTAGTTTTTAATGATAAAGAGCCTAATATTCTTCAAAATAGAATTGTATGAGTCCTCACCTTTGTTGATTCAAAAATTATATCTTTATTTATATTTTAAAATAAAATAAAATAAAAAATAAAAAACAAAAAACATATATAGCAAAAAAATTTATATTTCTTAATAAAATTAACAACAAAATAAAACATTATTAATGAAATTAAACGTTTTGAATTTTGGAAAGGTCTTAAATGTAAGTTTTTAGAAATATAATTTTTCGTTTTAGATTTTGTCCGTAGTTTGTAAATCAATTAATTATCTTTCAAATCATTTCTCAAATTCTTTTAAAAGTTTATTTTGATTTTTAATTTTCGAAAAAGATGAGTATTTTTAACCCTTATTTATGAGGTCATTAATCGCTAGTGTTTTTTTTTTCTTTGTAAAAATCAAGGTTCTCTTCCTCTCTCTTCTTCCCATCTCTCTAGTGTTTTCATTCGACCCAGCCCCCTCCCTCACCGGCGACGACTCACGGCGGCGCACGACGGAACTCCAGCGGCAACAAATTCCTACGAACGGCGGCAGGGCTCCCTCTGCAGACACGAAATCCGGCGACCCACGTTACATTGCTCCACGAACGACGGCGCACGGCGACGACAACGACAACGGCTGGCAAGGACCTTCAACGATGCTTGAATTTTCTTATCAGTTCGATTTAAGTGTTTCAGACCAAGTCTTAACCTCGAGTTCATATCTCTTTTGATTAGGAATCTTTCCACAAACCTTAGGAGCTTTAGGACACACTTCTGTAAGTAGTTATTTACTTGGGCGATTTTGTTGGGTGATCAGTGTGTATTATGTGCCTGTTTGTCCTTATATGTTTGTGTTTATTAATTTTATGATTTTGATTATATCATTATGAATATTGGTTAGATGATTCTGATCTGCTATTTGGCATCGTGGATGAGTTACTGCTGGTTTGATTATAATTGCTTAGATATCATATACTGGGTGTTGTTTGATAAATTAGGGGCAAAGCATGATGTATGGATATTATGCTTGATTGATAAAAGCATTCTGAGATTTTGGTGGATTGGTATGTTGGCACGAATCTGTCTGAAGCATGTATGTTTTGTGTATGTAGCATATTGGATTAGGCCGGAGGATGATATGTTACTATTGGGCATCGAGGCTTTGGGTAAAAATGGTAATACGCCAATCTTGAATAGGATGAGTGCTTAGACCTCGGGTAAAAATGTCAAGGGTCGATGCTATGAGTCTAAACTGGGAGGCAAGTATTAGCCATTTGGTAAAAATTGTCAAGGGTCATTACATTGTAAAATCATCGAGGCCTTAGTTAAAATGGTCGACGGTCGATGCAATAGTTTGAGGCCTTGGGTAAAAATGGCTAAGGGTCGAATGCTAAGTTGTGCAGAGAATTGTCGAGACTTTGGGTAGAAATGGTCAGAGATCGATATGACTCGAAAGAGTAAGTTTTGGAGAAATAGGAAACAATTAATAAGAAACTTGAATAGGTTTGAAAGAGTTAGAGACTCCAACGGAGTTTGTGATGTGAGGCTTAGGGATGGTATGTAGGATGCATGTTTAGTCGAGCATATGCATTGAGTATTCTATTTTAAAGTATGTTGAGCATGTTATCGAGAAATCATGTTTTATTGAATGTTGTATTGTGTTATCACATGTTGTTTATGTATTTACCGTCAAGTAGAGGCTACTTACTGAGTATTTACGTACTAACCCTTTACAGATTTTGCAGGTAACAATGTAACTCATGGGTATGGTGATGGGATGGAAGAGAATTGACAGGAAGGACCATGTAAATGCGTGATTTAGATTTCCATTTCTTGTTATTTGATCTCGATTCTGGATATGATATTTGCAATTGATTTTGCTTCTAGTGTAGAATAGAATCTGGTTCGTAATTCGTCTCCATTGATTACACTGGGCAGTACTTTCTTATTTACCGATTGGAGCATATTTTCCTTCTTCTTACTAGGAGTGCTTTTACACAGTTGCTTAATCCCACATCTTCATTTCTTGTTCTTGTCGTTTACTCAAACTGCAGTAGTATTTTTTTTTTACCAGGTAGACAAGGTGCCATCCATATAATTATTTGAGGTTCCTATCAATTCAATCTTCTTGGTGTCCTGCCAGTTTGGATATTAGAATATTGTTGAGGAGTGCGATGGATAAGAAGGAGAAAAATTTCCTCACGGTGGCACCTTTTGAGTGTGCTTGGCTCAAGGATTTAAGATTCAGGGAAGCAGGACGGGGTTGTGTGGTTTTCGAAGCTTCCGCTCATAACGATGTCACGTTGGTGTTCCGGGAGAATGTGGGAAGTCAACATTACCATTATAAACGAGACAGCAATCCTCATTATACAGTCATATTAGGTAGTCATCGAAATCGACGTCTAAGGATTATTGCTGATGGGAAAACTGTTGTTGATGTGGAGGGTGTTGCTCTTTGCAGTTCTGCATTTCAGAGCTATTGGATCAGTGTCTATGATGGTTTGATCAGCATTGGGAAGGGGAGATACCCTTTTCAAAATCTGGTCTTCCAATGGCTTGATACAAATCCAAACTGTAGCGTTCGATATATTGGACTTAGTAGCTGGGATAAACATGTGGGATATAGAAATGTTAATGTTTTGCCGCCAACGCAGGACCATATTTCGTTGTGGAAGCATGTGGATAATGGTAATGAAGGCGAGGCAGACAAGGAACTGGAGTTAGAAGATGAATACATGGATTACAAAAACTGGGGCCTTGAACATTTTCTAGAAAGTTGGGATTTATCTGATGTGCTTTTTAGTGTAGATTCCGGAGAAACACTTGTACCTGCTCACAAGGCTATCTTAGCTGCTTCGGGCAACTTTCCCTTGAATTTGTTGGAAGATGTTGTGCAGCTACATGGAGTAGAATATCCAGTTCTTCATGCTCTTCTTCAATATATCTACACAGGTCAAACTGAGGTACTTTTCTCCAATCACATGTTTTTTCTACATTTCCTCTATGCTACTTTTTATTTTACTTCTGTCGAGATTTGGTTAAATGCATTTTTATCGAATTATGACCATGCCAGTCGTCTTTTGACATTATACAAGTGAGTTAGACATGAAAAATTTCCATCGTTGCCTCTTTCTTCCCCTTTATAAATTGTATCTTTGCCATTCCCTTTTCGCTTAATGTGCTTGACTTGAATTGATTTTATTTCGATATCCGGTGTATGCTGAGCTGCACCAAATAGGCTGTTTGAATCTCAACACAGATACAACTAAATTAATATTTGGTCTGATACAAAAATTATTTTTGCCTCTTACATGCTACAGATTCTAGAGTCTCAACTTGGTTCCTTGAGGGATCTAGCCTCACAATTTGAAGTGACAGCCTTAGTGAACCAGTGCGATGACATTATGGAACAATTTAAACTGAACAAAAAGTTGTTTGACTCGGATAAAAGGGTGGAAATATCATATCCAAAGATTCAACCAGGTTGTAGTACAGTCTTTCCCTCCGGGCTTCTAGTAAATGTGCAGAGGCTCAAACAATTACAATGTTCTGGCGAGTTCAGTGATGTATGCATATATATACAAGGTCACGGATTTGTTGCCCATGTGCACAAAATCATTCTTAGCTTATGGAGCATGCCATTTGAAAGGGTGAGCAATTGTTATTACCGCATCTCATCTCATCAAATGTTGAGCACAATGTTTCTTCTGGTTAAAAAAATGTTTACAGCAAAATTATTGGAGGTAACTTGCGTGTATAGGTTTCTTCTTGGTCATATATGTATATCTTTCTTCAGTTTGTTTTCTCATTTCCATAGACATCATTGGCGATGCTATAAGATAAAAGAAAACTTTTTGTGATCATGACATCCTTCATTTTTTATTGGGAAGGAGTAAGCATCACCAATTAAAATACAACTAGAAAGCAGTAAATTGGAGACACTTTGTAATATTTTTTTGGGTTTGAAAATACCTCTTCTGTTGTCGTGGCATCGTGTTACTATGTTTCACATAGTTTGAAACTCCCTAGTCTAACCTATATGGGTCAGGGTAATTCTTTTTTTGCCGCAATTTTTGTGAGGAAAATCAACTTGAACTGGCCTCGTACAATTTTTTGTTTCTTAGGTAAGCTTGTATATATATTTTTTTTCATCATTTTGTGTAAAAATTGTATGGTTGTACATGAACAGATGTTCACAAATGGAATGAGTGAAACAATGTCCTCTGAGGTTTATATCAGGGATGTATCACCAGAGGCTTTTCAAACCATGCTCAAATTCATGTATAGTGGAGAACTCAGTAAAGATGTTACGATGGAGTCTGACTTCTTGTTACTTCAACTACTGCTTTTAGCCGATCAATTTGGTGTCACTCTTCTCCATCAAGAATGCTGTAAAATACTTTTAGAATGTCTTTCAGAGGTAGTGTGGAAACCCTTATCTCGTATGCTTGTTAAGATTAATTGATTTGTTAATTTTTACTTGGATTTGTTATTTGTTATTTTACTTGTGTGACTGGAAGATAAGGGGAGGAGCGTCATGCAGGGAGTTCTGAGAACAAAAGAAGAGATTCATTTTATGATAATGAATTATAGAAGTATTGATATCGTACATATTATATGCAGGGATGGAGTCTCCTAGTGGAAGATGGTCATACATCAAGATTTTTTGTTTATGCACAAGTTTAATGGACGAGGAAGCAGATAGTTTTGGGAAAGTTGTAAGACTTTGCTTCCGAAGCTAACTGTTGAACTTTGTTGCAGGATTCAGTATGTTCCATCCTTCAAGTTGTTTCATCAATTCCATGTTGTAAACTCATTGAAGAAACTTGTGAGAGGAAGTTTTCAATGCACTTCGATTATTGTACAACTGCAAACATTGAATTTGTCGTATTGGATGAGACAACTTTTCGCAAAATCCTTCAGGTATGTGCTCACTTGTTCTAATGCTTTCTGGTGCAGATATTAATGGTTAAGAATCTTAGGACCGAGTGTTAATATCATAAACAGCTCTAGGTCCCTCCAACAGTGTAACTGCTAGGAGCCAATGTAAATAGTGAAGTGTTTGGAGGAAATGAGTTCAAACCAGGGTGATCACTTATCTAGGGTTTAATATCCCACGACTTACTTGGCAACCAAATATAGTAAGGTCGGGTAGTTGTCCGTGAAATTAGTCGAGGTGCATTCAAGCTCACCTGGACACTCACGGATATAAAAAACAATTAAAAATTACTGGGTAATGAGTTGTTTAATAGGATAATTGGTGGGAGCTTTACTCCAATCGTGGCAATTAGATCTACAGAAGTGCTACTTCAACTGAACTCTTCACTATCTAGAATTAGTAATGAAATGAAATCATAAAATCTCAAGTCAGATTGTTATCCCCATACTTCCCCTGCTTTAAAATATGTTATTACTTGAACCCGGTGGTCTGGGAGGCCCAACAAGACTTATAATTGATAGTTGTCTTCTCAGAAGCTTATTTACCCTCTTAATGAAAACATAATATGAGTAAGAAAGTAAAACCTGTGAAATACTTTTATGTCTATTTAGATGTTTTAGTCGTCAATTGTTAGGTGAAGTGGTTCTACTTCTTGCAGTGTCCTGATTTGACTGTGACATCTGAGGAAAAAGTACTCAATGCAATCTTAATGTGGGGTTTAGAAGCTAGTGAATTATGTGGGTGGACCACGGTAGATGAGCTAATGACATATTCAGACCCCGATATCCTTTTTGGCAAGAGATTTCAATCAGTCCAGGATTTGCTTCCTCTTGTGCGATTTCCGTTACTCCCGTATACCTTATTGGAGAAGGTATGCACGTTTGCAATTAAATTGATTTTCTGGCTTGTAATTAAAATGAAAACTTTGTCACATGGCTTTTCATATAATAATCATGCAGTTGGACAAGAGCAGCATTAGCAGGAAGATTCATAGCTTCAAGAATCTTGTGAGAAAATCATTTCGTTTGCTGTAAATTTAAATAATAAAAGAGAAGATAGAATGCAATCCTTTAAAACTTAACCATTTAAAATGGTCCATTTTCTTCTATTTTGCTTTATCAGATACAGGAGGGTATCGACTTTGTGAAACTTGAACCATCAAGGCTAGAGGACAAGAAAAAGAACAAGTAATATGCCCTTTCATTTTTTATGGTTCATTTCTTCTTTTCTTTTCTTTTTTTCTTTTGATAACCTAGAAATCGAAGTTGTGTAGCTTTTAGTATACTTCCCTATAATCAAGGGCACATGTGCCTGCCCCAAGACCCGAACCCAAGAGACGTCAAGGGTTTTTGTATTAAGTTTATCCAAAGGTTCAAATGTAGGATCCCTAAGCATGTGATACTCAAAGATCCCATGCCCTTACTGACCAAGCTGTCCCTTGGCGACTATCACTCATTCTATTTTTGAGTTTATGATTTCATATTTTTTCATTGTAAGACTCAGAGTATTTTATCTGGTGAATGAATCTATCTCTCGTTAAGACATTCATACAACAATCGTGAAAATAAAAATGATAAAAAATAATGTGGAAGAAATAATAAAATTTTCAATGTTTGATGAACAATGTGAAAATATGAAATATGAGAGAGTAGAAATCAATAGATGAAAAATCAACTTCAATTTGAAGTGATACAAAATTCATGAATTAAGCAAATGGATAGTACAAATGTTGGTGATACAAGAAGTATGTTACAAAATGTGATGGGACCAAATATGTGGAGTTACAGATACTATGTTGGTAAAGAATATGGTGGTACGAACTTCTCATGGAAGTTCACCCTTATACAGGTACAAAGCTTAACCCTATTTAATAACCTCCATAAACTTAAAAGAATATTTAAAAGCTATAAACTTGGCAGTTATAAAATTGAAATTTAGAAGATAAAAAACATAAGATTAAATCAAACATTTTAAGAAAGAAACTTAAAAGATAAAAAACTGAAAATTAAATTAATAAAAAACCTCAAATCCCAACAAAGATTATCTACCCATTCATATGCCGAGAAGGACTCAAGTTTTACATGCAGAAGAACTAGATTGTAACAAAAAGAAGTTGCAAGAACCAAAACATTACGAGAATAGAAATACATAACTCAAACTGTGCTTTAGTCCAGAACATTACTGTAATTGGCATGGGGAAAGGGATTGTTTTAAATTTTCTTGATGTACTATTCTGCAGTGTGAGATTTCAACATAGACGGTCTAGTTATAAAGAGCTGCTATACATCTGTGATGGGGACAGCAATGGAGTTCTATTCTTTGCTGGCACCTCATATGGAGAGCACCAGTGGGTCAATCCCATTCTTTCAAAGGTAGAGTTCTCAAGCTTCTCGACCTTGTCGATCCCTACCCTTTTTTCTCAGAATAGGTAAATGTCACTGAAATCTTTCTGTTATCACTTTTCAGAAAATTACTATTACTGCAAGCAGTCCACCCTCAAGGTACACAGATTCAAAGGTTGTGGCTTCAAGAACATACCAGGTAATGATGGATGAAACTTTTGTGTCGAACGACTACAGCGGCGGAGAGCTCTCTATTAACTGGTTGATTTGTCTTGTTAGGGAACTTCCTTTGCCGGCCCTCGCCTTGAAGATGGGCAGACTTATTCATGGTGGATGGTTGATATTGGCAAAGATCATCAGGTTTTTGTCTATTCTCGTAGAACATACAAAATGGTATTAAATTCATGTTGATATACATGGATGGATGAGAGCTTCTTGCCATCAAAATGAATTGAATAGTGAATACTTTTGAGCCATCCCATTGCCTTTGGGCTAAAGTCAGTCAAAAGCTCTCCTTTTTCAGACAACACATTTATAATCCTTGTTTTTGGATGCAGCTGATGTGCAATTACTATACATTGAGACAAGATGGGTCAAGGGCATTCGTCAGATACTGGAATCTCCAGGTAAACCTCTCTCTCTCTCACTCTCATATTTAGGCAAATGACATTCTTCTCTCATATTTAGAAAAATGCCATTCTGTGCATTTGTTTAGGGATCATTTGATGGGAAAACTTGGACGAACTTGCGAGTACATGAGAATGATAAGACGGTGTGCAAGCCGGGGCAGTTTGCATCATGGCCAGTAACTGGACCAAACACTCTGCTTCCATTTAGATTCTTTCGTGTTCTTCTTACAGCTCCAACTACTGATGCTTCAAATCCATGGAACTTGTGCATTTGCTTTTTGGAATTGTATGGCTACTTCCTCTAGCTTGCTATACCTGTATTATACACCATTTCCTTCTACGCCCATTTCTTGTTCTTGAGCTGTAAATTGTGCGGCTACATCACACCGTTTCACTGTAATTTAAAGGTTGAGTTGCTTGTAAGGATTGTCTAAGAACTTTTTAATCTCGGATATTTTGGAATAAAGATTTTTGGGTGTGTTTGGATTTTTCTTTTTTTTTTTTTCTTTGTTCTTCAAGCTATTTAGGCATCAAGTTGAAAATCAAATCGATTGGTCCAGTTATTTCATCACACGTACTAGTATCAGTGCATCTCCAAACATCTCAAAATGGTGCAATATTTGAGATGTATTTGGAATTACCAACAAATGGAGGGTAATTAAATCATGGACAAACATGTAAATTCAAACCAAACATGACGTGATTCACAATTTGAATATATTGAAAATGGTTAGAGAAGAATAAATGACACAGACAATACTCCGATGGTAAATATAGAAAAGATGCAAAGAACGTAAGATAGATACATAACAAAGATGAACATGGGTAACGTACAGTTCAATCTCAACATAAAATGGGCTCAAGTAAAAAGTAGCTTATCAAGTTGAAGATAAAAATTGTGGTCAATCGCCCACTTTCAACAAGATGGAACAACCCATAGCCTTCAACGTCGAGGATGTCGATACCGAAACTAACAAAACCAGATGGTCAATTATCTAATGTCTATTGAGGCTTGAACACAGGGAGGGCATAACAAACTATATTCATGGTTTCATCACCTTCGGGCAGATGGCATGGCACCCCGACCAGTTGCACTCCCACGGCCAGCAGCTTGAGCCTGAAGAAAGAAATGATACCCGAATTAGCTATTGTTTCTTGAAGCACAATACTTGTTTGCCCCACTTAATCTATCGAAAAATACTTAGGTCCTAATTAGTTGTGAGGACTTATATTCATGCTGACCATCATAGACAACTACTCATTATTTAAAAAAAATGGAAAAAAGTATCTCTGATTTTGTATTACCTGAGTTGTCAAACATTTAATAGTGTCCCTCGTAAGATAAATCCTCACTGGTCATTACTATTTTTCTAATCTATCTGCTAGCATTAAGATTATTTTTCAAAATATACTAATAGTGATATTTCCCAACCACTACCCCTCCTCTCTCGACGAGTTCTTGCATGCTGTGTGAATTGAACCTAAATTCTAGATTCTTTCAAGATAGAGTTTCAACGTATATAGTACCATTTAAAATTTTCCTAACATATTCTCGGTTGATGATACAAAAACCTGTTAACTAAAGTAAACCCTATATTTTCACACAGACAACAGTCCTCTCGTGCATGCAAAAGTGCACAAGAGGCATGTGCGTTGTATTTTTCTACATATTTCAAGAAATAAATTATGAGAATACTAAAATAAGGGTCCAATGGGGGCTTACTTTAGCTCGCATAGCAACAGCCCTGCCCCTGCCAACACCAAGTGAGGCGCCCTTACCCTTCAAGATCCAGAAAGCATGGCTTAGTAAAAAAAATCAAAGCAAGCATTTCATCAGAGTTTAAATCCATAGGATTAGAATTAAGTTAAAAAACCTTAATTCTAGCATCAAGACGCTTGAACATTGGAGCATTCTTCAGCATGTCTGGTATGACCATAAACCTATCATACATAAACAGATGTCAACATGCCAATTAAATCCCAAAAGAACCGCCATGAGTAAGAACTAAGAAGTGATTGGATAATCTATCTATAATACAAGTGATGGAATAGATACCTGACTTTGCTACCTCGGATGAAAACATGCTCAAGCTGTGAGACCTTCCCATCCTATCAAAGAAAACATATAAAGTGAACCAAGAACGTATCTATCAACTAGAAAATGATAACCTTACATACATTGAATAATAATAATATGACATAAGCTAAACTTAAGAACTCAAAGGGCACTGTTGAACAGATCCAGCTCAATAAAGTCGTAATTTAACATACTGTAACAGAGAAAACAAGTAAACCTGAAAGGATTCAATAAATTTAACAGAAAGGGTTTCCCTTCCAATTCACCATTATAAATCTATGATAATGCGAATTTATTATATTCTATCTGAAATATGTGAATTGCATAGCTCCTAGCTCGTAAGTTACAATAAAACAGCGCACTCGACTCTAGAGGAAGAGGAATCACAATTACCAATCCTCAGAAAATCAAGCATCTTGACTTAGTTACCACTTACAACTTTTGGTTTCTTCCTTGCAACTTCGCATACAAGATCACGACATTCAAAGTTGGAAATTCTTGGAAACTACACCAAATTAGGGCTCATACAGTGTTGAAAAATTACATGCACTAGACATCAAAATGGGCATCTTTTAAGATAAGAAAGCAGAAGGAACGAAATGAACTAAACCCAAAACCCAAAAAACCTAAAGATTGACAAACAAACAAAAATTAAAAGGGAAAGAAAACCATAATCTTACGAACAACAAAAAGCATAAAAAAAGAAGGGTACCTTAGCAGTGTAGGTGATGTTTTCGAGCTGGCAGTTCCAGTTATCCTCGCACTCGATCATACTTCCTCTATAAAGCTCGCCACTTTTAAGCTCCACCGACACAACGTGGCCCGCGGCCTCATGGAGTAGCTTCACTGGAATTCCCAAGCTCCTGCTCATGGCTCCTCCCTACAAATCTCAAATCCCTCAATGTTTTAGACAGAGATTTGAATAAATGTTCCTATAATAAATAAACATAATTGAATAAATGTTAGTTGGTGTCATATAAATTCTAAGATGACAATGTAATAAAAAACACATAAAATAATACGAAACAGAAAGCAAAAATCCAATCCGAATTTCCATTGTCTAAAACTTAAAAAACAGTCTCCGAGAATAAGAACTAATACAGTCAAAAACCCAAAAAAAAAAAAAAAAATAGAACCACAATAGTCCAAATTTCATAAATAAACAGACCAAATACCCAAGAAACAGTCAAAATATTCAAAGATTCAAGAATAATAAATAGTCCAAATATCTACAAAACTTCAGAACAATAGATAGTCCAAATACACGAGAAGAAGCCGTCCAAATAAAGATTTCAAGATCAGAGATCTTACGATTTGCTCACCTTACTCTCATACGTCGGTTAATCACCGGAGTGATGGAAGTCGTCCCTGCCGTGTTCCGCCGCCGCCGATCGGAGAAGGAAGATGAAGGAGGTGGCGTGAGGGAGGAAGAAAAGGGGGTGGTGGCAGTGGTGATTTTAGAGAGAGAAGATGATGAAAAGAGGTGCGGCTGGATGAGATGAGAGAGGGGAAGAAGAATGAAGGCTAGGGTTTCTAAATGAGGAGAGAGAAGGTGGGAAATTTAAATTTCAAATGCCAATACTTTTTTTAATATAATTCTTTTTTAAATCTACAAATATTTTCTAATTTTATTTTATTAAAAAATGAACAAAAAATGAGTCGGATAATAAATATTATATATGTGATTATTACAGAAATAATTAAAAAAATGATGCAAAGAAAAAAAGAATGGCATTATAAATTCATAATGTGACGGAAACTTTGTAGCGATGGAGAGGTAGTCGGGCCTGTGGGCTAGCGATGACCATAGAACTCACAGTCAGGGTAATAAAGAGAAGGTGCGGGTAGAAGCAATTAACTTTAAGGAGAGATGCTATAATAGACCTTTTATGGGACATTTTATGGTATTTTTTGAAAGTCAGTCATAATACTTAATCTATAATAATATATCTTATTTAAAAATCTATTATAGCATTAGTTTTAGAGCTATAATAAGTTTTTTCTTTTTGTTTTTTTAGTACTACGATGAGTTGTTATAGCTAATAAAGTTTGCAACTCAAAACTTATCGTATTGTTTTCGTGTCGCGATTCATTTTAACTTATTGCTATAATTATTAATTAACATAATAATCTGACTTCTGTAACCTATGTTTTAGTGTTGCAAATAATTTATCGAGGTAAAAGTATATAAAATATGACACCTCAAAAGATTATGACTTCACACAATAAAGGTGGTTTGGCAGAGAATTTGGATTTTGTTTTTTATAAATGAATATTGTTATGGTTATTTATAAAAACTATTTTTAGATTATGTAATCTAAATATCCATAATGTTTCAGATTTTGAATCCAAAACATTAAAATACATCATTATATTTCTTATAAACTTAATTTATGTTTGTTAAAATAAAACATGTAAAATATAATATATAATGTAAAATACTAATTTTAACAAAATTTATAATATTTATATTAATTAATTAATTAATAATATTTTAGATTAAACTAAATATTTAGCATATAACGAATGAGTTACAAATATATTACAAAACACCTTGGATTTTCTTTTTCATATCTGCTACCAAATTCTCAAATTTGAGAGAAAAAATAATTATTTTTCATATTGAATAATAAAACCCTAAATCCCTCTAAGTAGAGGTGAGAAACAAACATAAATAAGGAATCTATCACAATAGTCTACTAATTACAAATAATAAAAGAAAAACAATTAATAAATATTTATAGTAATTATTTACTAAAAACACCATAAAACCAACACTCCCCCTTAAGCTCATTTAAAGCTTGTCCATCAACTTATGGAATTGCATTTTCGGAAGATCTTTAGTCAACACATCAGTGATTTGCTTTGTTGTTGGCAGGTAAGAAGCACATATGACCTCTATGCAATGATCTTCTCCTTAATGAAATGTTTGTCAACCTCAATATGTTTTGTCTTATCATGTAGGACTAGATTGTGAGCTGTGGAAATGGCGGCCTTGTTGCCACAATAAACACGAATAGGTGCCTTCTAAGAAAAATTCAATTCTTCTAGTAGCATTTTTATGCATATACCCTCACAGATATCGTGAGCTAATGCCCTAAACTCTACTTCATCACTACTTCTTGCCATTACATTCTATTTTTTGCTACGCCAAGTAACTAAGTTACCTTCAACAAAGGAACAGTAGCCAGATGTGGATCGTCTGTCAACAGTACTACTAGCCCAACCGGCACCAATATAAACTTCAACCTGTAAATGACCATGCATTCTAAATAGTATACATTTGCCTTGAGTTTCTTTAAGGTATCTTAAGTTCCTATGAACAGCTTTAAAGTGAACTGCACCAGGGGCGTGCATGAATTGGCTTACCACACTTACAACAAAGGCAATATCGGGACGAGTGTGAGACAAATAAATGAGTCTACCCACAAGTCTTTGATATTTCTCCTTATCTTTAACTTCATCGTCTTTCGCAGCTTGTAACTTTAAATTCAATTCTACAGAAGTTTCAGCTACCCTGCACCTAAGTAAACATGTTTCTTCAAGTAAGTCAATAATGTATTTTCTTTGATTAACAAAGATCCCCTTTTGATCTAGCAAATTTCATCCCTAAGAAATATTTCAAAGTTCCCAAATTTTTAATTTGAAATTCACTAGCAAGTCTTTTCTTCAGACAGGCCAATCCATCTACATCATTGCCTGTGAGGATAATATCATCAACATATACAATCAACACAACCATTTTATCATTTCCACTATGCTTATAAAAGATATTGTGATCTGCTTGACTTTGAAGGAATCCATAGCTAGTGACTGCTTTTTCAAAACGTTCAAACCATGCTCGAGGGGATGGTTTTAGACCATAGAGAGATTTCTTTAATTTGCACACTTTATTATTTCCAATATCCATTGAGAAAGACATTTTTGACATCCAATTAGTAAAGAGGTCAATCTAAGTTAACAGCAAAAGACAAAAGAACTCTAATGGAGTTAATCTTAGCAACGGGGGCAAATGTTTCCTGATAATCAATCTCATAGGTTTGAGTAAAGCCTTTAGCTACCAACCTTGTTTTGTATCTCTCAATGATATCAACAACATTGCATTTTATAGTGAAAACTCATTTGCATCTTACAGTTTTCTTCTCTCTTGGGAAATCTACAATGTCCCATGTGCAATTCAGTTTTAGAGCATTCATCTCCTCCATAACTGCTAATTTCCAATTCGAATCATTTAGGGCCTCCTGAATGTTCCTTGGAATAACCATGCTATTTATCCTAGAAGTGAAAGCTCTATGACTATCTAAAAAGTTTTCATATGAAAGATAATTAGCAATAGGATATTTAGTGCACCTACGAATACCTTTTCTAAGAGCGATGAGAACATCAAGATCAGACACATTAGGTAAGATGTTTTGAATGGGAGATGAAGTAGGAATAGGAGATTCGTTACCAGCATTTTTCAGTATCATTCCTAGGAGTATTAGACTGGTTTGGTGACAATTCAACTCTCTCATCTTCTTTCTTTTGATTTGGTCGCCTTCTAGTATAAACTTGAAGCTCAAGATTTTGATCACTATGGTCATTTTGTAATGTTTCTCCCCCTAAATAAGAATTTTCTACACTTGGCATTGAGGAACTAGGGACATCAAGACCATCAGGACAAATGATATTAGGAATAGGAGTAGAGATATCCCAAAAATTACCTTCATAACTAGATTCCTCCCCTGAAAGGAATTTTGGTAAAAAATGGTTTTTTTTCTAAAAAAGACACATCCATACTTACATAAATTTTTCTTGGTTGTAGGATGAAAACGCTTATAATTCTTCTATGTTGAGGCATAGCCCACCAAAATGCATTTGACTGCTCGATGATCAAGTTTGGACTGAAAAAGACTAGGGATATGAACATAAGTAGTGCACCCAAAAACTTTTTTCAGTAGGTCAGAGAAAAGACGAACAATGGGAAAACATTCTATTAGACAATTCAAGGGAGTTTTGAAGTTCAAAGTTTTAGAAGACATTTGATTTACTAGATTTGCAGCTGTGAGAATTGCTTCTCTCCACAGATATTGTGGAACATGCATTGAAAATATAATGGCAGGAGAGACTTCAAGTAAGTGTCTATTTTTTTGTTCTGCAATACCATTTCGTTGGAGAGTGTGATAACTCTCCAAAAAAGAGTTATTCGGGTGTTTATTTGGGTGAAATTGTGCATTAGAATGACAAAGTATGTCGGTTTTAGGTCATAATTATGATTAATAGTGTTCAATTGCAAATTCTTAGCTAAATATCCTTAGTCTTGAGAACTTTTGCCAAAAACAACATAAACTCTCGTATTTGTGGTTCATTTGCACAGGTTTTTAAAGAAGAGCTAAGAAGAGAAGGAAGTGTTGAACCAAAGCAGAGAAGTCAAGGCATTTTCAAGACAGAACATATAAAAGCTGGAGCATAGCGATGCCAGAGCATGAGTGTCCGTACAGTTAATTCAAAAACACGGGATTCACTTATGTCCGTACAATCTCCAGTCGGGTGCCTTAAAAATGGGACTCAATATTTAAAGGGAATGTTGCCCTAGCCGACAGACACGCAGAACCCAAGAGAGCCAGAAATTGAGAGCTGAAAAGACCAAGGAACGGAATATACCCATTTTAGGGAAAAAAGCTGACGCCAGAAAAGAGAAGTTCACCTGCTAGAACGAGCTGGCTTCTTCTTCTTCTCTGTCATTTAGCTATTTTTCTACTATGGGTTGTATTTCTTCTTCTTTCATTTTGTTTTTTTTACCCATTATGAGCTAAACCCCATTTTGGGGGAGGTTTTATGCTGTAACTAACTTGAGACCGAACTTCTAGCTGCTACATTTATTTTTAAGCAAATATGATTTTATCTCTTAATCTTCGCGTTACTGTTGGTCGCTGTTTCGTGTTTGCTAGCCTCTGTATTGACCCGGAAGGGCTTATGGGTGCTGATTTGTTTTGTTTATGGTTAGCAATTTTCTATAACTATAGGGATACTCAAGAATGGGTCCCCTAATCATGCATATAGCTTGGGTATTTAGCAACGAGAGTTGTACTTATTCATGTTTTGGGTGTCTCGGAAGGGAACCAAGTCGAGCTGGACACTAATAAATGTTAGCTACGCTAGAGGGTAGGTCGATAACTTGTGAAAGCATACTAAATCTCCCCCGCCTTTTCCATATCTACTATTCACCCATTATCGCTTTCTGTGCTACTGCTTTCTTGTGTTGACAGCTTCAATACTGTCGTCCCTTGCAAGTTTATGTCGTCCTGTTATTACTTTCTTTTATTTCTCCTAGATAATATACATACTTAAACTTTGTACATTTTTATTTGTTGGTATATACTTTTATCTTTAAAATATAAACCAAAAATCTCTGTGGATATGACCTCGTTACGTACTATAACAGGCGATTCGTGTATACTTGCACGTGTTGTCAACACAGTTGTGTGGACGCAACAAAGTGTCACGACGAGTAGATTGATGAAAAATACCTTTATCTTTCAAAAATCCCAAAGAGTCATTAAAATATCCAGTCCCATTATCATAGAGGAAAATACTTATTTTTGTTTGAAATTGAGTTTCAATCATATGATAAAAATGAATAAATAGGTCTCACTTCAGATTTTTTTTGTTATTAGATAAACCCCAAGGGAAGGATTGCAATGCTAGGACATCCGCTATTGAAGCATCAGACCATAGTCATTTTCTAGACAGCACAGTAGATTTAATTTTTATAAGGGTTTTAAAGGTTGTTCGTACATTTGATGTCTATTACCCTGAAATTGGGGGACACTTTAAAAGCCCCTCATTCAGCGATCGTTAGCATCAATGCCAAGGAGGAATTTCTCGAAAAGACTACAAAAAGAAAGGAGAATAATATACCCATTTGGAAGTGGAGCTACCGATCATCTACAGTAATTTTTCTGACAACTTTTGGATTGAAGCGGCTCGATTTGTTGCTATCACACTTCCCCATTTAATGGGTTGTAACTTTATTGAATTTTCATTTTCTCCTCCATTATGAGCTAAACCTCATATACGAGGGAGGATGTAAGCTTTAATTGAGACTCTCGGTTATTGTAGCTTGACCTTATTCATTGCTAAGTAAAGTTCTATTTCATTGTTTATTGTTCTAAACGATTGGTCATCATTTGGAACAGTTTGTTTATATATAATTTGGAAGAATGTATGAAAGCATGGTTGACTTTACTTGAGGTTAGTCTATATTTTGAATTCGATCATGTATACTTGGGAATGAGGTTCACTTAGTCTTGTTTATAAACTGTTTAGAAAGCACGGTTGTAGTTACAAAAGTTGTGAATAATCGTTATTTTGGGTATTCAATAAGGAAGCTACGCTTTTTTAGCAGTAGTGTATGTCTATGCTAGAGCAGCAGTTATTCTCGCTAGACAAAAGTACAATAACTTCCCCTGTGTTTTCCATTACTAAGTTTAATCTTGCGACTGTATCCCTTGCCCCTGCAATTTATTCTTGCTTATTGTTTATCCTTTGTTTTGTCGTATATTGTTCTTTTTCACAGTATTGCTACTCTTGCTCATATTAAATTACTTCGGCTCAATTAAGGTAAAACTCGTCTTTTAAGTTTTGTAATTGCTCTTTAATTCAAAACTTTTATTTTAGTGTGGGTTTATTATTTCTAAACTAATTGTTGAGTTTAAATATGATATGACCTTGTTTTCATTACTATAATAGGCTTTTGGTGTACACTTGCACCCTGTTTTCACGGAGTTACCCAAATTTTCGAGTCGATCAAATATGTAACCCGAAAGACCCGAACATAGTCTACAACCCAACCCTTATATTTTTGGGTTGGGTCAGGTCGGGTTCTCAGGTTGATAAGAAATTTTGTGCAGAGATGGGAGATGGGAGACCAAAGGGGAGGAAGTTGGGAGATGGGATCCCAAAACCCAGAAATCCAACGAGCACCATGTTCATCAACATCCCCACAATCTCCAAGCCCAATGGCACCCCTTCACCGTCACTACCAACACCGATTCAGACGCTGACACTCTCCGTTATCATCAAATGCGAAGGAAGTTGGCCCTCCTCCAACTCCTTCTTGCCTCCGACGACGACCTCTCTGGCGACTTAGAGATCAAATCGAAGCCTACATCACTAGAGAGAAATTGAAATCCCAAAATCAAAAACCCAGAAATCAACAAGATGAAGAAGATGAGGGAATCGACAAAAGAGAGGGGAAGGAAGGGAAAAAGAGGAGTAGAGATGAAGGGAGGGAGACGAGGGAGGGAGTGAGAAGATGAGAGAGAGGGAAGAAGATGAGAGAGGGGGGAAGAAGATGAACGTGGGAGGAGGCGGCTACCAAAAAAGAAAACCCTAATTGTTAATATATATGTATATATTTTTTTTAATTTAATGGTGGTTCGGTTCGGTTCGGTTGAATCGAGAAAATAATCTTCCAACCCGTGAACCGAACCGAAATTTCGATTTTAAAAAAATTCAACCCAACCCAAACAGAAATTTTTTCTAACCCAACCCAAACCGTATGGGTTGTCCGAGTTGCTCGGGTCACCAGGTTTTTTGAACACCCCTAGTAATGGTTCCTTTTTTTAGTTCTTCTGTGGGATGTTTGATTATTTTTTGAGCTGAGTTTTTTGCTTTTGGGTTGTAAATTCTATTTTTTGTCTTTTACTATAATAAATATGTTTCTCTCTATTTTAATTTAATGAAAAATGATATATTCATAATTGTATTTATTATTTAATATTTCATTTGAGAAAGCATGAGTAGAGATAATATCATGAGAAATTTGGCATAAAATAAATGAATTACAGTTGGTACAACAACAGTTTTTATTGGTTATGTTGTTGCATTATTAAAAAATTATCAAAACATAAAATTACATTATAAAATCTCCATCAGAGCCTGGACTAGAAAGAAAATGAGTAAGATATTTATTAATGAGATTTTTTTCTAATGAGGAACAAAGTAAAGATATCTTACGAATGGTCCGATTAGCATTTAGAAGATTAGTTGACATACTTAAGATACAATATAAAGATAATCAATATAGTTCTATAGAAGAACAAGTAGTCAAGTTTTTGTATATTTTAGCTCATAATGGGACAAACAAAACAATTGACTTTTCTTTCGTTGATCAATTGAGATAATGAGTCGACATTTTCATCAAATCTTAAAGGCAGTTATATGCTTGAAAGAATAATATCTAGTTGAACCAAATGGGTCTTAAATTCCTCTTGAAATTCAAAATAGCACAAGATTATTTTTCCATATTTCAAGGTAAATACTCTATACTAAATATCTCAATTTAAAAAAAAATCATAATTCATAGTAATCGTTAGATAATATGTATCATATAGGATTGTGTTGGGGTCATTGATGGAACACAAATGTATCAAGATTTAGGGGACGAAAAGATTTGCCGACACATAATGTTTTAGCAGCATGCACC